CTCCTCTCCACATTCACCTTGCCCAGAAGCAGGACYTTTCTCCAAACTTCCAAAGCCTCTCTCTTTCATCACTGGGATCTGGAGCCTCCTGGCAGCAAYCAGTCCACCCTGGTGCTGCACTGGCAGCAGCCCCACAGAGCCTCCCAGCCCCAAAACCCGATCCAAACTGGCTGACAGCTGTGATTTAACAGGCTCTCAGCAAGTATTTCCACACATTTTTAAGTAGGGCCATTATTATTTTATCTTATTATTTTATAATTAAAGCCAAGYTCCTCAAACAAAATTAATTAACTGACTAAAGCTTCTGAGATCAAGAATTTGCTAAAGCAGAGCAGCACCTTCCCCGTTTGGTTGTGGTCCAGGCGCTTTATGGCAGGTACTTTGTGCCTGGCTGATGTTCAACTGACAGCTTTCCAGGCATATAAAAAACTTATTAGGCTGAAAATAGAGTTTGCAACCATAAACTGTCAGGAGCGCTGTCAGCATTTCCAGCCCAGGTCTGCTTTGTGTACAAGCACTGGCAGATCAGGCTGCTGTGGGGAGCAGGGTGGCATGATGGGTTTGCGTGTCCTCTCACAGGACCCATTTTGGGTTGGAAGAGTGCTTGGGAAAGGCTTCCTAATGAGCTGTGTGGTACCAGGAGGTGGAATGGTGGGGTTTAGGATGTCTGGGACTGGGTGAGGTGGCTCAAGACAGTCACACATGGAGCTGTGTCCACCTGCGTTGGGGTTTGAAAGCTGGAAGTCACTTCCATGGGAGACCGTGTGGAGGAAATCTGCATTTGGAACCAGTTTATAGCCAGTGCTTCATTAGTTCCYTTGCTGAGCTTCCAGATCACAATGCAGAGCAAAGTGCCTGCAGCCATCTGAGCTACAAAGAGCCCAGGATGGAGGCAGTGGGGATTCTCAGAGAGAAAGCTGTGAGGTTCCTGAGCCTGCAGTAACTCTGAGCAGGGCCACAGGACAGATCTGAGGCAGCTCTGGCGTGCAGGAGGATATTTTACAGGATGATTTATGGAGTCATGGGGCAGAAGCAAACCCTACATCCARTCTGGATCCAATCAGGGATGCTGTGCCTGCAGAGGAAGGCATCACCATGGCCCTTCATGTGGAAATGAGGGATCACCCCCATGCCCAGCTCATGGGGCCGCCTGGCTGTGGGCAGCCCAGCAGTGTCTGGAGTTTAAGGACATCATCTGGGCAGCTGCAGCTGGTTGTTATTCATACCCTGATACTTAATACCTTTTATATATTAACYAATCTTCTGCTTTAAAAATACCCTGTGGCATTGCCAGGCTATCTATAATCTCGGCATTAAATGGCATTAAAGCTGGAGTAGCTGATGCTTTTACTAAGGCAAACAAAAACATCAATTTGGTGTTTAAAAATAACCAAAAGAGGCAGAGTACAKCAGGATGGTCCCCAAGCTCTCAGAGGGATGGAGCACCTTGCAGGTGACAGCAGAGAAGGGGCTGACACCTGATGGGATGTGGGATTGACTCAAGCAAACCCACTCAACCGGTCCCTGTTTAGTGCTTTTCATCTGAGACTGCTAAGCAGCTTTGCTTATTTCAATCCATTAGAACTAGAAAAGCTTTTTAATAAACTCCCTGCCAGCCTGGAATTAGTAGATGTGGGCCAATTAGGCACATTAATTAGGCACTGGTTTAAACACAGATGAGGTTTGACTTTGTTTACCAACCTCAGAGGAAGCAGCTTCTCCAAGTTCACCTCCAAAGGACTGGAGAAAAGGCACGTTCGTTCCCAGTCGCAAGCACCCCCAACACAAATACAGCATTTGGACTTAGGTTTTATTTTCAGAGCTCCTGCTTTTTCTTTGCCTCCCCATGCAATAAAAATGAGRCATTTAATCTCATAATGCAACTTCTCACTGAAAATCAATGATAAAGTACATTATCCTGCCGGCCCTGAACCCGCGGCTCCAGCTTGACCTTCCTCAAGCAGAGCGATGTCCGGCGAAACACAAAGGTTGAACTTACAGTTTCCCAGCAGGAAAGTGTGAAACTTCCTCAGGAGGGGCAGGACAGGACCAACAGAAGCTCAGTTATCAGCTCTGGCTCCTGTCTCTAAGGTGGGATGTCATTGCTGACCAGTGGAAAAAATGACCAGCAGCAGGTGAAGAGCAGGCAGCCCCCACRCGTGTCTGTGTGGAGGTTTGACAGCATCCCAGCCCTGTTAGCAGGGCTGCAAACACACCATGGAGAACACAAACCAGGCACATTCCTAAACCTGACACATGATTTAGGAGGCTGCAAGCACTGCGATGTCGAGCAGCGAGCCGACAGCTTGTGCTGCTCCTGATGGATGCTGGAGTCTATTTTTTCTSCAATAACAACTTTCACTAATGGTGCTGGCACGGAGGCTCAGCAAGGAGGAGGGAAGTGGCAAGTGGCCAGGGTGAAAGAGAGTTCACAATTACAGTAGGAAAGGCCACGCTGTCCCTTGCTCTGGCCATGGAAATGCTGAGGACAAGGATGGAAGGGGCTCTAGGAGAGCATTGAATCACCCCCACCTTCACCAGAGCATCCACTGTACCCAGAGCCTTTTCATCAGACACTCTGACACCTGCTTATCTTATTTTTAAACTCCTCGAGTGACAGGGTGCCACAATCTCTCCCAGCAGTCTGTTCCAGTGTTTCACCATCTTCATGGTTAAAAAGTTTTTCTTATGTCCAGTTCAACCTTCATTGATGCAATTAAATCCCAAAGCATCTTGTCCTCTCCAGAGAGAGARGCAAGATGGAGGAAGAGGGATGTAAGCCTCGTCGTCTTTTTCACTTGTGTGTTTTATTCCCAGCCAAAAAGAGAGTTTATTTTCCTCAAAGAGATACTATCTCCCGCAACACACAACTCAGAAGCATCTATTTTTAAAAGTGAAGTATAGGAGTTACATAAAAGCTATGGAAACCAGGAATGAGAAACAGGATCTTCAATTTCTGAGCTGTGCCTCCTACCACAGCTTATTTCCCTGCTCCTTGGGGCTGGCCTGGGCTGTCCACAGCACACAGTGCAGAGAGGCTGAGCTCCCTGCCCCCCACACCAGCACAGCATGGACAGGCCCCACATCCCTGGTGCCTGCAGCCTTTCACCAGCGTGCCAAAGAAAGCAGCAGAAACGCTGAATCTGTTTTTGTTCCTTTCTGCCCTGTTAAAACAGCATTGGACTCGAGAGGCCAGACTCTGCTCTGGTAACCAGCTGGGAAAAGGATGACACAGATAACGCAGAGAGATAACACAGACAACACAGACAGATAACACAGATAACATAGACAGATAACACAGATAACACAGAAAACGCAAACAAATAATGCAGTTAACACAGATAAAACAGATAGATAACACAGATAACACAGACAGATAGCACAGATAACACAGATAACACAGATAATGCAGATAGATAGCACAGATAACACAGATAATGCAGACAGATAGCACAGATAACACAGATAACACAGAAAACGCAAACAAATAATATAGTTAACACACATAACACAGATAGATAACACAGATAACGCAGATAGATAGCACAGATAACACAGATAACACTGGTAGTATGGATAACACAGATAACACAGACAGATAACACAGACAACACAGATAACACAGACAGATAATGCAGATAACACAGATAACGCAGAGAGATAACACAGATAACACAGACAGATAACACAGATAACACAGAAAACGCAAACAAATAATGCAGTTAACACAGATAACACAGATAGACAACACAGATAACACAGACAGATAGCACAGATAACACAGATAACACAGATAATGCAGATAGATAGCACAGATAACACAGATAAACGCAAACAAATAATATAGTTAACACACATAACACAGATAGATAACACAGATAACGCAGATAGATAGCACAGATAACACAGATAACACTGGTAGTATGGATAACACAGATAACACAGACCAGATAACACAGACAACACAGATAACACAGACAGATAATGCAGATAACACAGATAACGCAGATGGATTGCACAGATAACACCGTTAACACAGATAGATAACAGATAACACAGATAGATAACACAGGTAACACAGATAGAGAACACAGATAACGGAGATAGATTGCACAGGTAATCTCGAACAGATAACACAGGTAACAGCAGTAACAGTGCTCCTCAGTGCTGTGGGTGTGAAGCGGCACCTCCCTGCCTGGAGCTGGGCAGAGCAGCAGGAGTGAAGGCTGCCCGTGCAGGGATGGTACCACAGGGTACTTTGGGRCAGTCACACAGCCCCAAAGGCCCCTGACTTCAGGACGGTCGGTGAAGAGGGTGTAGACATGAGAAACTCCTCCAGCCTGGGAGCATCCAGGGGCAACTTTGGGCAAACGGGCTGCTAGGACTGGCACCAGCACGGGATGAACGGTGGCCTCGCTAGGGCTAAYCTGCAGCTGGGTGCTGCCAGGCTGGGAGGGCTCGGGGCACACGGGAGCCACCCTTGGCGTGGATGCGAGCCTGTGCCGGACGGAGCCGGTGCCCAGTGCCCRCCGGAGCTGGTGCCCAGTGCCCGCAGCAGCCGGCCGGTGCCCGGAGCAGGCAGGAGGCGCTGCGCGGTGCGCGGTGCCCGGGGTTAGGTGCGCGGTGCGGGGTGAGCCGTGCGCGGTGCCCGGGGCTCGGTGCGCGGGGGGCGGTGCGGGGTGTGCCGTGCTCGGTGCCTGTGAGCCGTGCTCGGTGCGCGGTGCACGGTGCCCGGGGCTCGGTGCGCGGTGCGCGGTGCCTGGGGCTCGGTGCGCGGGGGGCGGTGCGGTGTGAGCCGTGCTCGGTGCCTGTGAGCCGTGCTCGGTGCGCGGTGCACGGTGCCCGGGGCTCGGTGCGCGGTGCGCGGTGCCCGGGGCTCGGTGCCCGGGGCTCGGTGCGCGGTGCGCGGTGCCCGGGGCTCGGTGCGCGGGGCTCG